GATATTCTGGCTATACAGAATCTGTACGGGTCTCACGACGACGGAAACTATCCAACGGCGACTCCCGCGACTACCGTGGCGCCCGCTACGACGAGCGTCGCGCCAATCGACCCCGCGCGCGCGGATCTCTGCGTTTTACGGCGCGTGGACGCCGCGCTGATAATGAATCACCGATTATATATAGCTAATCGCCGTAATGTGTGGTCAATCGACACAATCGAGAAACGATACGGTAGGCCCATGACGCTCACGGATTACGCGGCGTTTCTCCCAGAGAATTTCACGCGCCTATCCGCCGCGTATCGAAGACCCTCGGGCGATCTCGCGCTATTCGCGGACGATTCGATCTACCTCGCGGAATATCCCGGTCTTAAGCTAAAATCGGGTTGGCCGAGATATCTCCACGATATCGGACTTCCTCGAAATGTTAAGATTAACGCTGCGATAAACACGCACACGGGACGAACCTACGCGATCTACGACGACGACAAGGTAGCGGAGATTGACGAGTGCCGCATGATAGTCATTAGAAACGCTCCATTAAAAGATATATTTCCCGGAATACCACCCGCGATAACGTCAGCCTTTCGATATATCGACGGCAATCTATATTTTTTCGCCAAACGTCAATTTTACGCCTTTAACGAATTTACGAATATCGTAACTTCGGTGAGTCCTTTCGATCTACACGCGTTCGGTATCGAGTATCCTACGGATGGGCTGCTAAGACAATTGCGCGATTTCCTAAGTCGCGTTTATCGTCTCAGCGACGCGACCGAGAGAGAGAGAATCGACGAGGAGGACGACTAGAGCGACTCTACCGTCATTTTAAAAAAATAGAATATAAGAGAGGACGCGCGCTCTATCCATCTCCCTCGGCGCAATATATATTAGCGTCCGCTCGCGGATCGCGCGCTAGAAGCGACGCGCGTCCCTTAAAAATCGCGATAACGGATCACGCGCTAAAAGCAGCGCGAGAGATCGCCGTCACCTCCTTAAAGAACGAGTCGCGTCAAAAGAGTCGCGCCAAGGTCAAATCGCGCTGGGAGAAATCGCGACCTCAATCGAGTCGAGCGTCATCTCCCGGGCGATCTCGTACGGCCTATCTCACCTACTGGTACCCAGTGTGAACTGCCCTCTCACGGCGTCTCTCTTCATCCTCCTTCTCCCTCATCACTTTTTCCACAAAAGCGAAAAAAACAACCCAGTTCTCCTCCGATTCCAATATGGCGTTCACAATATCCCCCAGGGAAAAGTTCCTAGCTAGCCCTAAAGCCCGTTTCAAACGTATCCTTTCAGGATCCCATGCTGGACAATCTTTTAGCGTGTGCCGGTTCCTCACCACAAGTCACAGCTCGCGTCCCTTTTTCTGCCAATCCGATAAAGGAATTTCGCAAAACAGCCATGACCTGTAAGAATTTAAGTCATATGGAATGTCATACCGCCAAAATTTCGAGACAACCACGCGTCCAATGTGGGCTTGACAGCCAGCTTGGTCCATTCTCCCGGGGTGTTCGGTTTCTCCAACTGTGCCCTCCATTCTAGTTGTTTCATCCTCTCAAATTGTATTCTTAATTTCCCTAGAGTAGCTCCCATTTTCCCTATGTGCCCGAGTGCGTTCATAAATACGAACCCGCATCAACGCCACTAAACAAATTGGAGGTATACGAGCCAGCAGAGAAGCAACGCAGCTGGACACAGTCCGATAGGCCGAAATAACCCTCTGAGCGACCGATCGTTCAAGACTGGTAAAAACATTTAGCAGTTTGCTAGTAGCGAGCGCGTTGTCACAAACTGGTGCCCCATACAACAAAACTGATGAAACTACATTGGCGTAAAGCCTACGCCGTCTCTCATCGGGACCCCTAAGATTCGGCATCAACCTATTAAGAGCACGAATAACTTTATTGGCTTTCTGTTCTGTGTACCTAAAATGGTCGCTGAAAGTCCAGTTGTTATCTACGATAATGCCTAGATATTTCATACCGAGCTTAAAATCGATCGAAATATCCTCAACTGTAATTGTTCTCGGCAGGTCAATAAGGCCCCTTGGATGAAACAATACTGCCTCTGTCTTGTCTGCAGCAACCTCCAGGCCTAGGCTATTTATGAAGTTTATCACCCTGGTAACAAATACTCCCGCCTTTAAATTAATATATACAACATTTAAGCCTGTGACGATAATAAGTGTGTCGTCCGCGTAGCATATAATTTGGCAGTCTTCCTTTTCGTTTGCCAAGTCTAACACACTATCGAAAGACACATTCTAAAGCACCGGACTTAGCACCGAGCCTTGCGGGACACCAGCCTCCATAGCCCTTGAATACCGAGTACCATCCTTACCAACATATTGAATCTCTCTATTGGAGAGGTAGGAATCTATAATCCTACGGATATAGGGGGGAAACCCTTTATGACCTAATGCTCTTCTCACAATCCTCCAAGGAATACTATTAAATGCATTCTTTATACCTAGTGATACCGCGATTGCATACCCGCCCCTAGCTACCGCAGATGTCGTAATAGTGTTCATTCTAAGAAGCACATCACATGTCGAACGATTCCTCCTGAACCCAAACTGGTTATCGGACAAATCGGATTTTGGATGTTCCACCTGCCACGAATAAATCCTCTCGGCGAACATACGTTCGAAGGCTTTACCGATTTCATCTATAAGGCAAATCGGTCTCACTTTGGGTAGTTCTACCGCATCTAGTATTTGATTGCCCCCCTTTCGTATCAAAACTAAATTGGCGCGTTTCCAGACTACGGGGAATTCACCTTTCTTGAGACATATATTAAAAAGATGCCCGACCTAGTCCAGTATCTCCTCCGTGACCACTTTCCACATAATCAATCGAAATCCATTAGGGCCCGGAACCTTTGCAGACGATGCAGAAGTCTTCTTGATTACCTCATCCGTCTCGGCCGGAGAAATTGCCCATTCATTCGACCAAACGAGGTTGGACCGATCCTTAATCCTATCTGCTAGTGGGTTTCTAGGAAATAAAGAATCTAGTAATTTCCCTAGGCTTTCAGTATCCAATAGTTCCGTCAGGCTGGGCGACGCAGATTTTAACTTTCCTAACACTAACCTAACCTAATCTAACCTAACCTAATCTTTTTTTTGTTTTGCGTAGGGGGAGAAAATGCATTATGCACCATACCCCGGGACGCCGGTCCCAGGGCGTGTACGGGACTCTCGTCCGGTAAAAACTCCCCCTTCGAATGTGAATCTCGTCGAACCAGAAAGTCGGGATGTCGGAGACCTACTTCCATCTGAGCTTCCAACACCTCGACGGTCCAAAAACTGCCTACCCCCGTAATCACCCAAAGTTCCTCCGCGACCCGGACATCCCATTCTCCCTCACCCCCTTTTGGCTCCTGCCCGTCCCAACCACCCTCCATACTTAAATATTAAATTGTGTGTGTGTTTATATGTATGTGTGTGTCTATGTGGGTTAGAAAAATTGTGAAACTTTAGCTCCTCAGAAAATGAGCTTAAGCCTAGAGCCCAAGCCCACCCTAAAGCATAGAAGTAATAAACCCCCCCCCCCAACCCTGTAAGAGTAAAAGTAAGAGTAAAGAATTAAATTACATTCAACCCCCTTCCTCTCCCTCCCATCCCATCCCTCCCTTTAGTTAGGCTTAAGCAACATTACTATACAATGTTCGGATTCCTAACTCAATCCGGTAACGGAGAAAAATACCATCACCATGACATGGTGACACAAACCAAAAAGGACGCTTGGACAGGGGAATTATCCCAGCCACTAGTGACAAGACTGATAACCCCCCCCCCCCCTA